GCCTCCAACAAGACGCTGACCAAGGAACTCATGTCAAGCTGCGGATGACGTTACGAAAGCACTAAATTTTGAGTAGCATTTCACGTTTTACGATGAACTCCAAGCCATAGAACGATGGAGTACGGTGTGCGTGCAAGAGACTATCGGTATTTATTTCGGTTGTGAATAGTGTACTCATAGAATAAGTACGCGTGTACATGATCTATAATTTTGTGTAATACACTGCGGTTGAGAGTGGTGGTGATCATTTTCCAGACTTTGTCTGTACTATGTTTTACACCATTATCTATGTTACACAGTCCAACTTTGACAATCGCTGGACTATCGGGGCCAGGTCGCCCTGCAGTAGGCATTATTTCGACAGGCCCTTGAGGGACTAACAATACTAATAAGGACATTTTTAGTTTCGAGGGGCAAAGAACATAATGCATTCACAAACTGAAAGGCAGACGACAGAAGCTCCGCCAGTTCGCAGTGTACCCAAGATATATCGTCTCAAATGACCAAAAATAGACACGTGAAAGGCCAAATTTTAGAACCCAATAGAAATACCATTCGTGGTAACTCACCGTAGCCATTATTGCTATTACTATTAACGAAATAATGAGAATATTCATAAAGATACAAGTATTTGATTAAATTAACCGGAAAAATTAAAGAGAGGATGGAAATAATCCCGCATTATGTCCACATATTGCGAATTTGAACAGTTCACCTTATCATTAGAGAGAGTAACTGGAGGACGGGATTGGATGCGCCAGAAGCCATGTGGTTAGTGCTACAATATAGCCTTTTGCTGTCCGGAGCACAGACAATTTCGACGATCTCGGGTGACTTGGACAAGTCGGCACGATTTGACGCAACTGGTTGAACGCATCGCTGATCGTGTGCACACGGGTTCTTTCTCGTTCGTTCGCCTTCATTCGACGTGTTCGCGTTCGTGCATGAGGTAAGTGAACACGTGATTTATCAGCAGGGGGCCGGGGAGCTGATTTCCGAATTACAAGAGCTAACGGTTTATCCGAGATCTGTTCTAAGTCTTCGGAATCAAACACGGTGGAAGTAAACGGACTTGTATCTGCCTGAACTGCATAAGATTCTCTTTGTATTGATTCGGGCAGGGAGCGAATAGCGTTCCAATACCGAAAAATTTCAACTGATTTGGAATGTTCTAGATTGGTCTGAATTGAACGCATCCACAACGAATAGAATGCATACACATGATCCACGGTAAAATCCAAAAAAATTCGTTCAACCATGTATGACTGCAACGGTGAAAAAAATGGTAATTGCAAACACTGTGAACAAGACAGTGATGAAATTAAATTGAGATGAAAATCAGGTGCACTAATATTGGGCAGTGATCACGTGCACAAAGTCGAATCCTATTGGCCTGTTTCGGAGCAGGCACTGATTGGATAATAAATGTAGATGATACATGCAAACCAATCGAACATAACACGGACTTCCTAATGAAATAGACCTGACTGGAAATATGAACATGGTAATCGGAGCAGTGAGTTTATCGGTCGATTAAACAACTCCTCTGTGATTGCATTTAGGCGAGTACATTCAAATTATGGGGCTGTTTGTTCCCAAAAAATACCGCAAAGAAAATAAAGTTCAGTGAAAATGCTTGATTTTAATGGTCCATTTTTTCTGTACCATTCTGAACTGAAGATGTCCTGTTCTTTAAATATAGCAGGACCAAATGATGTTAGGAGTGTATCGAAAAATCGACGCGCCATGTTAAGTGTTTTATTGTGAATGTTATGGTGGTAATAGCATAATGATGTCTCTAGAGAATTGTACGCCTCGACCTTTCAGTTATCGTGGGTAGCCGTTCTCAAAAGTCAAAGGTAACAAAGCTCACGGTGCCATTTGACCCCATCGGATAATGAGAGTTAATATGACAGACAACGAATCATTCAGCCCACCACACGAATTCACACACACCACGTACACACGACGAAACATCCGTGGACTTGATTGCAAAACTTGCCTTGAGAAAGGTTATCCGCGGTAACCGAGACATCGGTGAATACATTTCTCTACCGACATCGATGTGTTATTAACATTATAACATTCATATTGGAGATGTCCTGTATTCAAATAGCTGCGGTCATCGTACCAGCAGCCCGGTGGTGAACTGGAATCCTGCCGATTCCATATTTATGTATCTTCCAGTGTAACTCTCAGTTCGCCGCATCCCCTTGAAAACTTTCTGTACGGCTAATTAAAGTAAGACATGAAAGTGTAATCCAAATATTATCATTATTATTGCTGGTTTGGAGCTTTCTTTCTCAAAATATCAATCCCTTAGTCTTTACATCCTCATTATGGATTTTTTTACTACAAGATGGCTTCCGAAATCTCCACATTCCTTTGCCTTGTCGAAGTCAACTTGCTTTAGCTATGCACAAGATCAGTCTGACATTTTCGGAGGATTGCGTGACACCACTTTCGTCTCCGTCTGTCTATGGACAGCTGTCGTGTGTTGTTAACGTTGGCTTGCTACTACCTAACCTCACTGGAACTGTCACCGAAAAACACAGGAACGTCAAGTGACCCGGACTACTGAGACCATTGAACTGGCTTCATTTTAACATAAAATTAGTTCTCCATGACGGAGATAATTACGGGGTTGGTTACCTGATGGTTTTATGTAGCGGTCGATTTACCAGTTGGTTCACCCAATCAGTGACTCTTTTATCCGGAGAAACTATGTCAAATGATACAGGATGATCACAACACACAAGCCCATTCGTCTGAATTCCATTCAGCCTGTTCGCCGAGCTTGGCAATTCGTTTGCAAACGTTTCATCACCAACCGAGGTGACATCATCAGTGCTTGTAAAGTGGCAGTGTTCTGTTTGTACCCGTTCGTTTATATATGCGTTCTTCTCCACCGACCATTTCCGTCCCCTGTTCTCAGTGTTCGACTCGGTTCGCCGTTGAACTGGTGCAAGGGGGTCCGTTCTCAGGTCACGGTGTAACTTTTTTATTGCGTCATTTGGTCCTTGAGTTGCATTGGCGTGTACACGTAATGCAGTTCTAGTTGAGTTGATTGAAGAGTGCCCGGCCTCGAGAAATTCTCTGGCGTGGTTTGATCGGACTTGGTCGATAATCCTCACTTGATGTCCTTCCTGATCTTCGTGGAGGGAAATCAACGATAGCGGGTCACGTCTCCTGACTGCCAATTGGTGTTCATGGATCCTTGTTGACAGTTTTCTCCCAGTTTGTCCAATATAGTGTTTTGAACAGTTCTTGCAGTTTATTTTGTAGATGCCGCTGCTCTTGTCCTTCTCTCCTTGGGTTTTGACAGAAGTCCCCTTAGACAAGCGATCGGTTTGTGGGCGACTTGGATTTCATGTGATCTAAGCAGTCTTGCTGTCATTTCCGAAACGTCCTTGATGTACGGCTGGGCCGTCCTTGTTACCGATTCTCCGTCTGTTTTGTTCCTTCTTTCTTTTAGCCAGAGTTCTTTTGATGAAGTTTTGGGGATAGCCATAGCGAGCAAACACTTTGAGGAAGTATGTTTCTTCTTTCTTCTTGAGTATGTCGGTGCTGCAATGCGTTAGGAAAACTGGAGACAACAATCTACCGCAAGGCAACACATGCGGATCAAAACCGAAACTTCAAAAGTAATCATCCACACATCCACAAAAGATGCTGTGTTAGAACCCTGTTCGCCGAAAATCGTCTGTTACAGCTTTGCACAGACTGGGAATTTGTGCTGTTAAGCACCAAGAAAGGACACCACTTTGCATGGAAACTTCCGAAAACAAATCAGCGATCGTCATTAGCTATGGTCGAAACGGATCCACTCAAGACTACCGCTCTCAATGGTCAACACTCGTGAAAACGTACCATGTGTTGTTACGAGCTGGATTTTGCCTACCGGAACAAAGCCACCGGCAACAAATACCTATATCACAATGCAAACCAGAGATGCAAATCAGCCTTTGAAACAGCTCTTTCAATATACCTCAGTTCAACCACCCGCCTAAGGATTCAAAGAATACTAAAAGTTGATTAATGAAGCTATGCATATGTCAAACAAGATAATCATGGATTCTGGCGCACGACCAAACGACGGATGTCTTTAACCTCTATTGCCTTGATGGGTGATCAAAGAAACTTTCCTCCGGATACGACACAGCACGCAAATCCCTAAAACGCCAGCTCATTAAGAGCCTGAGGAATGATGGCGAGCAGCAAAGTATAATGAAATGCAGAAGACAGTGGAAATTGGTAATAGCCGCCCTGCCTTCCGTCCAATTAGGAGTACAGGCCCAAGGAAAGCATTCACAGAGTTAGCCGAAAATATTCAGGTAATCGCGGTCGCCCAATGGAGTGAGTGTTTAATCAGACGTGAGTTAAACATGATACGAAATAGAGTACCGCGGCGTGAGAACTTTGCCGAGGCAGGAAGGGGGTGGAGAGAAGTATAAAACTGGCATGAGGGCACAAAAACCGTGACCAGAAGACGCACATAGGTCGCGTTAATGCTCCTTTATGCGGACCACGGGGTCATTACAATCGATGGTGGGAGACAGAAATATGACTCTCGTGCATTGACTAATTGTTTTTATAACCTCAGTTTGCATGAATTCCCTAATTTCACCTTCACCCTGCTTTCAACATTCCCATTTTCCTTTCACCTTTTAAACTATATGGGCAGCCCAAGTACAGCAACCAAAGCCACAGTACGAAAGTGCACGGTTAACGGTTGTAAATACTTGAAATTGAAACGACAGGAAGGACTGGAATCGCGTTCTTGTGCTACTCTCGCTCATCACAATTAGTAGTCACACAACTTTCTTTCAACTGGGATTTCTCATTTGGAACTCAAGAGTGAATGAAAAGCTGTACAATACACAACTCGTCAAATGCACGAAAAACATGAGTTATACACAGCCGAGTGAAATATTGCAACTGTTACTTTGTGCACTACTAACAAACAACAGACAATTTCACGGATAATCTGTGAGAACAATTCATAGCTTGTGTACACGTTTGGCGCCTTTTTCGGTTTTTGAATACTTCGCCTTCAGTGTCTCCTCGAATCGAAGGTGATCCGTATCCGAAAGATCCTCCTCCTCCGTCGCCGCCACCGCATCACTGGTGTCCGCATCCACGTCAGCCTGATCGTTGCGTTTTCTTTCAGTTGCTTTTAAAGTTCGTAATCCCCAGCCTTTATTTTCACGATGACTTTCACGTATTGCTTGACGCTCTCGACGACGCTTCCGCCTCTCCCGGGTTAGCGCACGCCAGGTCTGACGAGCAGCTTGAATGCCAGCCAAACCGGATGTGGCCAACGGCATATTGAGCGTCTGGACTGGATCCAACCGATCGCTTTCATCCACAGAAGGCTTGTTGGGCACCGGTTGATGAGATCTAATATTGCCATCACTGACTGAGGATTCTGAATATGCGGAATCGGTGTTGTCAGTTTCGTCCATCTCCTCATCCTCGTCGCTTATATCATCGTCATCAGCAACACCACGATTTCTTGCTAGAGCTTTCTTTCTTTCGGCATCTTGGCTGCGAATAAGCTGTGAAGAGGAAAGATTGTGGATTATTTAAATGTGGATCCAGGGGCGGAAGATCAACAGATAGACAAAACGAAAGATGTGAATAAAACAACAAGGTCTTGGCGAGCCAAACGTTTATGAAAAGTTGCAAACGTGAAGCGGATAAGTGCTAAATATCTATATATGCACATCGCTTATTCTTCAGAATAAGCATAGTGACAAACGATGGCGGATTGAGGTACAAAAAAGACAGACATGAAAAATAAAGAATTACAGTGGATTAGGACACGAATAAGAATGTTTTTGTTTGTTTCACATGCATATTTTGATATTTTGTGTTATTTTATCGTTTTTATGGGGCAGTCTCCGAAAACCTTCGTGTGGTCGGGAGTGGGTACCTCGGATTGCAGTTGGTCACGCCTCCCATGCACCTAGTGAAGTGATCCTATAAGAACAGGCGTCTCAAGTGGCCTCTGCAAGGAAGCCCCATTCACTGCCTTCCCGAATAGGGTGTTGTCCCACCAAAAGTAGAGGACGAAAAGGCAGCATCTGAGGGGTACGAACCACGCACACAACTTCCGGGTTGTGACGGTGATCACCGACTCAATCGGGTATCGAGGTGTATTGGGCACCTTGGATGTTTGACCTCGCCCAAAGGCCGTCTAATCCGATGAACTTTACAACGGCCTCCAGTAGATTGCGCCTTCCACATACCGTCCCGCTCCTTTATGGTTCAGGCTTTGGCTATCCGAATATTCAGGTTGTGAAATCATCAAGAAAATTCCCTTGCTTCGACTTGGGTAACCTAGAAATATAGCGTTCACATGCAGATCATGGGACTGTTTTCTTTGTTTTCTATTAGGGTTATTGTACCGTGGTTTAAAGATATCTGGAAAAGAGAATAAAGTCTATCTCCTCAAGACCGGAGAACAATACAGTGTGGAAGAATGCAGGCTGTCACAAACTTAAGAATTAAATCTAAGGGAACACCGAGCTTTTAAGGCCTCAAGGCGTAGAATGATAATCTACGACCTCTGATCTAAATGTTTTAAACATGTTTATATGAAGAAATATCATGTGACAAAGTAACTCCAAGATATTTGACAGAGTTAGCCTCGGGGAAGATATTATCGACCGTGCTGGGAACTCAAAATGTTTTGATGATGAGTGCCTGATTAAGACACTCTTCAACTAGGTGGAAACAATCAGGATCAGTCGAGGGACAACCAACCACCACGTCATCAGCATAGTTGCAAGCAATAAAGTTGAGGCGGATATTGATGTACAATGAAAAAAGAAAGGGAGATAAAAGAGCATCTTGAAAGACCACAGAGTTAACTTTTAGCAAGGAGGAAGGTTTTTAGAGTTACAAAAATTGAATTGCATCTTATGTGAGAAGTAATCAGTCAGAAGATTCAACACATCAGGCACTTCGGAAGACGTTGAAAGAGAATGCCTCGGTTAAGTGATCCGAAAGCATTGGCATGATCAAGAAAAATTAAACGGAAGATGACAGACCCTAAATTCAACGAGGATGAAACGGGGTGAACAACGAGAGCAACAGCATCAAGAGTGAAAAGCAAAGGTTTGCAAGCAAGCTGAATTGAGTTTTGAGCAACAGCACTTTCTCAACAACATTGTCCGCGACCTATTTTAAAGTGAGACAATCCCTATGTTCACGGTTTATCAACCAAGTGACCGGTTTCCTAATTGCGACCTGAAAACCCAGCTACGTACAGCCCTGTTGGTCGTAAACTTGCAGTCAACGTCTTCCCATTCCACCGAATCAAAACGCGAATATCCCTACCGAAAGATATGACTACCGAATACACGGTCTTAACCAATCTCCGTATCGCTAGCCCACTTTAGTTCTAAAGGGGGAACATGACACTGCCGATTCATTATGGAGGTAGAAAGATAACACAATTTCCTGGTGACCTCAAAAATAGAAAACTCAGGTTCCAAAGGCACACACATCGGGGTTTTGTAAAGTGAACTATTAAGCGGACTGTGCAAGTACCTCAGGAAGCTATCCGAAAACGTTAGGAAGGAGTATGGGGAAGTGATAAGAGTACCACTTGGTCAACCGATCGATCTCGTTACTTTTTTAGATGAAATTAAATTTTTATTATTAATCAAAAATTCAGGAAGTGGAATATAAAATGTCGATCACAATCGGGCGCCAAATAGAGAGGCATGCCAATGGCAGCACATATCCACAAAATATTCTCGCTTAATTAACTGTCCTCGGGGCAAACTAGTGATATCTCGTAATCGGGAACTAATTTAATTTCGGAATAATGCAATCAGTAACTGAAAAACAGAACAAGTGAAAATGCATGATTAAAATAGGGAAAACAACTCTCACTTTGCCCGCTTTGGACCACGCTTCATCGGCCAAGCGTCTTCGAGTAAGCATGCCCTGTTTTCCAGTTGGTCCAGGTATAGGAATGGGCCAACGGGGGATGCACGCCACCGGGGCCTTTTGTGGCCCATCTGCCCGTACTGGTAAATACGGGGCAAGTGAAGCCTCGAGCTCTAGAAACGAGTGAGCCACATCTCGCGTGATCAGAGTGATGGCAGTACCGGGTTGGCCAGCTCGTGCAGTCCGACCAATACGATGCCGGTAGGTTTTCTCACTGAGTGGCACTGAGTAGTTGATAACAAGTTGCACGTTAGGCATATCCAAGCCTCTGTGGAAAGCAGTGATAACAATTGATATACTTTAACTACTCATAAGTAGTACCGTTCTGAATAAAAAATAAAAGCGCGACCAGCTTGCGCTACCAACAGCACCAAGTGGGGCATTGCTGTTCGATCGACTATATCTTTCCGATGTAGCGAGAAAACACCAGACACAATGTCCGACATAATTTTACGAAGTTACCAAAGCAAAAGAATAAAACTCCCTGAAGAGGATCGGCAGTGAATCAACGATCAAATGCCAAAAGTAATTTATCAATCACCTGGTTGATCAAAGTGAATACACGCGGATACCAGTTGAATCACCAGATGGCAGTGGATATATCCAAATTATCAGTACCAACACATTACTTATCTGTATGGTCCAATTTTTGGGAGCATCTGTTTCATTGGCATGTCGAGCAAAAACAGATAAAGGTATTGCAGTTGGTTGAGTTCCCATCGATCAACGGTTTTATTTAGCTCGTTATGGCCTACTGGATCGGGATATTTATAATGGAAAAAGTATTTTGTCCACGACAAGAGAAATGCTGGGTTTCAACATTTTTACTCCCTTCTCCATTGGTCAGATGATGTCAGTTTCTGGTAGAACCGTCATTCGGGACCGAGCAAACAAAATCAGCTAAGAAGAGGGAGGATGAAAACGAGACCTACCGACTGGCTAGATCTGTGGCCACCAAAATACGGGCTTGGTGACCGAGGAAATCGGCCAATGCTTGTTTTC